TTATTTGTCCACTGGGAGGTGCTTCTACAGGAGGTGTCTCTGCCCATGGCAGGGGATTGGAACAAATTGGTCTTTAGGGTCCCTTCCAACCTAAACCATTCCATGATTCTAGAAGAGGAAAACTCTGGGGTTTGGTTTTGTTGCAGACAAAAACTGGATATCCAGTGTATTTCCATTTGGGCTGATGTGACACGAAGGTCTGGTAGCCCCACTACTCTGTTGGACAAGTTTTTGATGATGTTTTCTGTGATTTAACTTGTCCTCAGAGCTGGGAGGTGAAATGGAGCTGGTCAGCCTGGGGTGTTGGAGGCTTAGGACACTCCCCAGCTATGTTTGGCTCCCTGGAAGTACCTAAAGGGGCTCCAAGAGAGCTGGAGAGGGACTGAGGCCAAGGGCCTGGAGGGACAGGACAAGGGGGAATGGCTTCCCACTGCCAGAGGGCAGGGTCAGGTGGGATATTGGGAGGAAATTTTTCCCCATGAGGGTGGGGAAGCCCTGGCAAAGGTTACCCAGAGAAGCTGTGGCTGCCCCATCTCTGGAAGTGTCCAAGGCCAGTATGGACAGGGTTTGGAGCAACCTGGACTAGTGGAAGGTGTCCCTGCCCATGGCAGGGGGTGGAATTGGGTGATCTGTAAGGTCCTTTCCAACCCAAACCATTCAGTGACTACAAGATTTTCCAGTTACAAGATTTCACTTTTCAGACTTGCACCAAAGCCCCTCAGTTTTACAGCCAGAGGCCCCAGTTTTTCTCATGAGAAATGAGGTGCTGCTGCTGCCACTGTTTCTTCACAGGGTGCATCCCAACCACATCCAGGGAAGAGGAAAGGTCAGGGAGGGAATGATGTCCCACAGAGTGTTGGCAGCAGAGGGAAGGGATAGCATGTTGTGAAGAGAGGTGGGACAGCTGGATCCTGCCTTAGCTGAGAGGCACAAAACAGCTGGAACAGGGGACAGTGTGCCCGTGGGGTCCCCATGGAGGCACAGCCAGCCGGGAGAGCTGGGAGCATCCGTGGGAATGATGGAGCTGGGACTGGAAATGAGCAGCTGCATCCCTGGTAAATCATCTTCACCATCATTGCTGCCTGTTCCCAGAGTGAAACAGAGCTCGGGGAGTGCCTGGTGCGGGCTGGCTGGGGATGGTCCAGGTGAGGAATTAGCACAGAGCTGTGCCCAGGGTGGAACTGGCTGCTGCATCCCTGGAAGTGTGCAAGGCCAGACTGGACAGGCCTTGGAGCAACCTGGTCTAGGGGAAGGTGTCTGAGCCCACGGCAGAGAGGTGGGGCTGGATGGTTTTTAAGGTCCCTCCCAATCCAAACCATTCCCCGAATCCGTGAGAAGGTTTAAAACCTTTTCCAAGCGACCCCCCCGCCCAGGCTGCAGCCCTCGTGGGGTTTATTGCCAGGAGCTGAACACCTACTGAAGGGCTCGTTGGGAACAAACTGCTGGGAGTGCTGGCTCTGGGAGCATCTGGGAGCCAGCTTGGAGCTTTCCCGGCTGGTTTTTGGACGTGGGGCTGCTTCTGTCACCTCCTCCCCACTGCTTAATTGCAGCCACCTACCCCCTCCCTCAGCCCCCCTGCTCCGGCTGGCCAGGCACTAATTGAAAAGCCTAATGAGGTCCCAGGGGTCTCCTGCAGAGATGGAGCTAATTAAGGGCTCCACCACGAACACCGAGGTTTCCTCAAACCTCTTTTTCGGGGGCCGGGGGGGAAGGGGGGCACCAGATGTCCCGTTACCCCGCCCCGCACCGGGGCAAGGCTGGCGCTCCGCGTTCTCAGGGCTCCTGCCAAAGCAGCTGGTGCAGAGGCAGTGGCTACACTTAATACATTTTAATTAGCATCATTAAATTCTTCCATTTGCTAATTGTTTCTCCTTTTGATCCTTTATCCTGACCAGATTAGCCCTCGGGGGGAAGGGACAGGATGGGGGATGCAGACGTGTCGGACAAGGTGAGGACTTTATTATCTTGTCACCAGACCTCGGGACAACATGTTAAAACGCCCCAATTAATGTAGATTAAAGCCAGATTTGTGTGTCCAGCCTGTTCCTGGTGGCTATTCTTAGAAAGAGTCATCCCCAAAAAGTGAGATTCCACAAGGATTTATGAGAATAGACAGCACCAGTCCAGGAACCCCCAAAATGCTGCGGAGTTGCTGTTCAGGTGATAACGCACTCAGGTGACTTTTGGGGTGTCCTGTGCAAGGCCAGCAGTTGGACTTGATGCTCACTGTGGATCCCTTCCAACCCTGGATATTCCAGGATCCCATGACACAGGACCAGCAGCCACCCTCTCACCTTGGCTCGGGCTGTGTGGTGAGGCACGAGAGGTGAGCTGAGGTCACTGGTCCTGTTTATCCTGTTTTATCCCAAGAAAAGTGTTGGATCCTGGTGCGAGCCACCCGGCTCTGGGCTGATGTCAGCCTCATCCGTGGTATTTGGGGCAGAATTCCGTTGCCAGAGGCATTGTTGTAAATCCAGAGGAACTTGGCCTCCTCTCAGTCACTCTTGACTTCCAGGGGATGAGTGAAAGCTGGGCATGAGAAACAGCCTCGATTCTCTGTTTAAATCCCAAAAAAAGAGCTGGGCCAACTGCTCTGGTCTCCTTGGAAAGGCTGGCATGGGCAGAGCCGAGCAGCAGGGATTGTTGGAATGTGCTGAATTGAATTGAGATTCCCCAGAGATTGGGTTAAAAAAAGAAAGAAGAAAATCAATCACATCACGCGCGACGCTCCAAGGCAGGATTATTCCCCAGTTATTCCTCCGTCACTGTGTGGGACTCAATTGGTTTCCATGTGATGTTTTTTCCCTGTTTTAGGGTTAAATGGAGTGACTGGAGAAGCCAATGGATCCGTGAAGGATTGTGATTCCTTCTGGAGACAGGTGAGAGTTTGCTGCTGGGCCTCGGCACTGCGGGGTGTGCCGTGGGATGGAGGGGACACCACGGACAGTGGGCAGCACCACCCGGGGGGTTAAACACCAGGGAGCTCATCCTGGGGGCAGGTGGAGGCAAAACCATTGATCTAAATGGGAAAACGTGGAGAACAGGCTGGGATTGGCACGAGTGAGCTGAGTCAGAGGGGTGATGGCTCCTGCAGAACTGTGCAGGAAGGTGGAGCTGGTTGGGGAAGGACGGGCAGGGAAAAAGCTGGACATCAAACTTTTGGGGGATGATGCCCCCTCATCCTGATGCCTCTGAAACAGGAGGCAAAGCTGTGCAGGGTCACTGGCTGGAAGCAGGAATGGACACGAGGAAGATGCAGGAAGGGCACCCCCAGGTCCACCTGGAGCTCCTGGTTTCACAAGGAGACCAGCATGGCTCGGCAGGAGAAGGAATGCAGCAGGAGCCAAATCCTCTGGCCCAGTCTTGGACAGCAGGTGGGGACAATTTTGGACACAACAAGTGATGTATGGCTGGGAGATGACCCTGGGTGACACCAGTCACAGTTGCAGGCCAACAGTGCCACCGTCTCTGTGCTGGTCACAGCTCATGGATCTGAGGCCATCAGATCCACCTGAGGAGCTCAGCTCTGGGCTCCAGACCCTGCTGCTGGTCCAGGGATCACAGGTGGATTTGGGAATGTTTCTACATTTTGATTTTATCTGCATCAGGTAGGGGTGAGGTTGAGTTCCAGGCAGCAGAGCAGGGGAAGCTGCTGGAACAACTCCAGAGGAGGCCACAGAGATGCTCCAAGGCTGGAGCCCCTCTGCTCTGGAGCCAGGTTGGGAGAGCTGGGGGGAAAAGAGAAGGATCCAGGGAGATCTTGGAGCCCCTTGCAGGGCCTAAAGGGGCTCCAGGAGAGCTGGAGAGGGACTGGGGACAAGGGATAGAGGGACAGGACAAGGGGGAATGGCTTCCCACTGCCAGGGGGCAGGGTTAGATGGGATATTGGGAAGGAATGGTGAGGGTGGGGAGGCCCTGGCACAGGTTGTCCAGGGAAGTTGTGGCTGCCCCATCCCTGGGAGTGTCCAAGGCCAGGTTGGAGCAACCTGGGCTAGTGGAAGGTGTCCCTGCCATGGTAGAGAGTGGGACTGGATGGTCTGGAAAGTCCCTTCCAACCCAAAGCATCCTGTGAGTCTATGAATCTATGGAAAGATGGATATTTAGTCTGGAGATGTAACAGTCTGAACTAAAAGCTCTCAGAGGAAAGGAGAAAACAGCCCTGGGCACCCGGGGGCAGCCACAGCCAATTTCCTGCTGCCACTGGGAATTGTTGGGAATCACTGCTGTTGTGCCTGGCTAGGCCAAAAAGAAAAACAACACGTTATCCAAAAAATTAAGTAATATCCGAAAAGTAACAAGTTATCAAAAAAATCCCCCAAACCCCTAGGTTATTAAAAAATGAAATAATATCTGAAACACAACAGGTTATTATAAAATAACGGGTTACCAAAAAAAATAACAGGTTATCCGAAAACACCGTGTTATCTGAAGCAGTCCTGAACCAAAGGACAGGAAACTTGCCCTGATTTCCCACCTGCCGCCCCCACTCCAGGGCCGAGAGGGCACTCCAGCACCCCGCTGCTCCCAGCTCCCGGTCGCGACCTCTCCAGGCCTGGAAACAGACCCCAAACGGGTGGGTTTTACCCCAAAAACCGCGGTGACCCCGCAATGGATGGGGGGGCTGCAGCCGGGCTGGCTCCGCCAGGGGGCGCCAAGCCCCTCCCGCGGCGACTCCGGGCGCTTTAAGCCACGCCCCCCGCCGACACAAGCCACACCCCTATCGGCACCGGCCACGCCCCGTCATAGAGACCCGCCCCTAACCACGCCCATATATGGTAAAAGAAACCCCCCGCTTCTCCTTAAGCCCCGCCCATCCCCTTAGCCCCGCCCCGTCAGGCTAAGCCCTGCCCTTTGTCCTTCAGCCCCGCCCATCGCTCCAAGCCCCGCCCCGTGCCCCAGCCCCGCCCCCGCGCTGCCGCTCTCGCTCCCTCCCGTCCCCACCCGCCCTACTCTCGCGAGATCCGTGTCGGGCAGTGGCGGCCGTGAGGGGCCCGCCCGCCATGGAGGGGCCGCGCCGGGCTCTGCGGCTGCTGCCGCTGCTGCTGCTGCTGCTGCTGGTGCTGCTCGGGCTCTGCGCCGCCGGTGAGCCGCCGAGGGCAGCCAGGCCCCTGGGCCGGGTAGCTCTGGCACCGCGCTGGGTTTGCGGGGGCCCCTCTGCCCCGGGGCCGCTGCCGGGAGGGGGCCGGGAGGGGCTCCCCCGCCCGTCCTCCCCTCGCAGCCCCCTCTCTCCGGGTCCTCCCTCTCCCCCCGGGCCTTCCCTCTCCTTCCCCCTCAGCTCCCGCTTGCCCCCCTGGGTTTCCCGCTTGGGTTTCCCCGTCGCTCTGTGGGTTCCCCTCTCCCTCTCGCGGGTGTAGGGTTAGCTCGCAGTTCCCCCGGTGCTGACCGTGCCCCCCGTGTTTCCGCACAGCTCAGGGGGAGGCGGCAGGGAGCGAGAGCAGCTCCGCGCCCGGCGGGGCAGCGGGAGCGGCCGGAGGGAACGGGCAGGGGCACGGAGCGAACGGGCCCGTGGAAGCACCCACGGATGGCGGAAAGGACCGAACGAACGCGGCCAGCGCCCAGCACTCCCAGACGGGTCACACGGGCACGAACAGCGACACAGCGACACAGGAGAACCGGAACACAAATGCGGCCGGACAGGACGGCGAAGAAAAGGAGAAGAAGGAAACTGAGTCACAAGACAACGTAGGCCAAGGCAACAGCGCGGGGGGTGCCCAGGGCAGTACAGGCACCAGTGGAGCTGGTGGAGGCACCGGTGGGGATGTGAACCGACAGAGCGAGGGAGGCCAAGGCGGTGGCACTGGCAGCGAGGCCAACAGCGGCACCAGTGGCCAGGGCAACGGCATCCAGAGCCAGGGCAACAACATCCAGACTCAGGACAACAACCTCCAGACTCAGGACAACAACCCCCAGACCCAGAGCAACAACCCCCAGACCCAGAGCAACAACCCCCAGACCCAGAGCAACAACCCCCAAACCCAGAGCAACAACCCCCAGACCCAGAGCAGCAACGAGAACCAGGGGAACAACGACAGCAACCGTGTCAAGAACAATGACCAGAGTGGTGGCAGCAACAATGGACAAGCTGACAACAGTCCAGGGAACGGGGGCAGCAGCCAGGATAGCAGTAACAAAAAGCAGGTTGAGAGTAGCAATAAAGAGGATGATGAGAACAGCAAAAAACCAAATGGGGACAATACCCAGAGCAGCAACAAGGACCAGAGCACCAAGCAGGACAGCAATGACGGGAGTGGGGCTAACAAGGAAAAGGGCAACACCATGAATGGGAACACCAGGCAGGGCAGCAGTGGTGGGCAGCAGGCCCAGAGCCAGGGCAGTGCTGGTGAGAACCAGAGCAATGCTGGTGACAACCAGGGCACCAATGATGCCAAACAGCCCAGCAGCCAGGATAATCAGAACTCCCAGGTGGACCAAAACCCCCCCTCACAGTCAACTTCCTCCACTGGGGATGGCGACAGCTTTTTGGGCAATGAAGAGAACCCTGAGGAGGAAGACACTGAGACCGAGGAGGGCAGAGACACCTCCTTCGATCGGGAGAGAGGGAAGAGTGTTCCCTCCGTGCCCAGGGCCCGCTCAGAGAGCAGCCACTTCTTTGCCTACCTGGTGACCACGGCCATCATCGTCGCCGCCCTGTACGTGGCCTATCACAACAAGCGGAAGGTGAGTGGCCCTTCTCCAGCCCCGACCCTCCAGATCCCCCTGAGGACTGGGATTGGAACCCACCCAGTCCTTTCCCTTCCCCCTGACTGGTTTCTCACCAGTACTTCCCAGCGTGGTTCATGTTCCCAGGGTCGGACAGCAGCGGGGTGGGGGGTTGTAACCAGGGAAGGACCCCCGTGGAAACTGGGTGTTGCACAAGAGTGGGGTTGTTTTTTCCTAGTGAAGCTGGTTTTGAGGGAGGAGAAAGGAAACAAATTATTATTGTTTTCTGCTTGTTGAGCAAACTTCATTACCCATCTTAGCTGGGGTCAAGTACTGGCATATATTTATTTCAAGGGCTTTTTCACGGGAAATGGGGTCATAGGAGCAGGTGAGTGAAAAACCACAGGCAGGCCTTGTTGGAAGGGAGATAAAGCAGCTCCCCACTCACCCTGTCCCTGTTTTTCTCTCTCCAAAGATCATTGCTTTTGCCCTGGAAGGAAAAAGGTCAAAAACCAGTCGACGGCCCAAATCTGGTGATTATCAGAGACTGGATCAAAAGGTGAGACCAAGCCCAAAGCAGGGACTGTGTCCCTCGAGCCTGGGGGAAGGTTGGGGTGCCTGACCTGTTGGAAATACAATATATCAGCCCTTTGCATTAGATATGGTCCCAAAGCCCTGAGTCCGTCAGGTTTGGAAAGCAGATTTTGTTCAGGGAACAGGGTTTTACCAGGAAATGGAAACAAAAGTACTGAGAAATGCTGTCAGAGCTGGCCCAGCTGACCAGGGCAGAGGTGGGAGAGTCTTGAGCTCTGTTGTGCTGGAATAGTTTGTCCCTGGCTCAAATGACTGACTGTGGCCCAAGTGACTGACTCCAAGAGGTTTTTAGTGGGTGAAGGGTAGAATTTGTGCAGAAATCCTTCTTCCCCTCGAAACCTTTCTCACCTCTTGTCCTTCAAGGCAGATGTATTTTCTGCCATGGGAAGAGGAAAGGGAAGAAAATTAAGACAAGAGCTAGTGTTGGCTTTGGAGCTCCTCAGCCCTTTCCAGCCCCGAGGTCTGGGCAGAGCAGCAAAGCAATTTTGAGCTTTCAAGTTAATTTAAACCTTTCCTTTTGCCTTTCCAGATCTAGATTCCTCCTTGGACATTCAGTGGGATGACAACAGCCAGCAATGGGAATGCTGTGCTGCCACGGTCCGATTCCAGTCCACAGGAAGGAGGGGAAACACTTTTTGTTTTGCACCTGCACCTTGATTAAAACCCCTCACTTTCCTAAATTCCTACTTTCCCAGCTGCCTTGTGCATCCCTTGGGCATCTGGCTGCAGGAAAAGCCAGTCCCAGCATTCCCAGAACTTGTGTGTCCCAATGCAATGGAATTTGCCTTCTGCTGGACTGACCCCTTGTCTTGGGGAGGAAATTAAGGATCTGCTGTGCAAAGAGCTGTGGGATTGTCCCCTTGCCTGGGCCTGGAGCTGCCGTGGTCAGCTCCTCCTGCTCCGTCCATTGGGTTTGGATGCTCACACTGGGAACGTGGGGATTGCACTTACTTGGAATTGATCTGCCACAGACCCAGATTTGGGGCTTCTCTCCCTGATTGTGACAGGCTTTTGCTTTGAATTTTTCCAATATAGGCAGAAGAAAAACGGATATGAGGAATTCAGAGCTCCTCACACGGGTACCCACCTGCACCTGGAGCCATGTGCCAGTCCCCCACTTGCTCACTGACTGCACAGGAAGAATCCCAGGGGGTTAACTTCCCTCCTGGGGGGATGGGAATGGCCTTTTTCCGGCCTTCCCAGGGTTGGGAACAATTGGTTACCTGCCCTTTGGTCACCTTGGCCGAGGGCAAAGCCTTTTCCTGGTCACTGTGAAAGCTGCAGCTCTAGTTTGAATTTCCTGACGGCTCTTTCCAAGAGGGGAGAGGGGGCTTGACCCTCTCCAAACCCCCAAATCCTCCTCCATTCCCTTTTTGCCAGCTGTTGACAAGCACAAGGGGTGCAAGAAAGTCCTCTTGGCTTTAAAGAGCTCTCAGGGTTTCCCTGGGAAACTTCTCAGATGCCCAAAGTACTTCCAGGAGCTGTTTAGGAGAACAGGAGGGGGAGGTGGAAGGAAGGGAAAGGGAGACAGGCTGGGGAGAAGGGTGGGAACTCCTGCACCAAGGCTCCCTGCTCCAGGGAGCCCCTGGGCTCAGCCAGGCTCCCTGGGGGGCTGACTGAGGGCAGGGTGTGGGGAGGGGGGCACTGACTTCTGGCTGGTGACAGCAGGGGGACAAACTCCATTCCAACGTGTGGAATTCCATGTGTTCCCAGGCTGCTCCAGCCAGGATTTTTGGAGTGTGTGTGCTTTTTGGAGTGTGTGTGCTCTCTGCCTGCTTTGTCCTTTTTTTTTTCTTTTTTTTTTAGTTGAATAATAATTTAGAAAGTTGTTTTTTTTTCCACCATCTACTCGCTTTTCTATCCTGGGAGTTGTTTCAAATCCTCTCTTGCTCCAGGCTGTGGAAATCCCTCCCTAGTGCCAGCAGGGGAGGGAATATTTTGGACCTCAAACTCCTTGATCCCAGGCTGGACTGAGCACGAGCTCATTAGGGTAATGAGGATGTACCTCACAGCTCCAGGAAGCACCAAAATCTCCCCCCTCGGCAATTCCCAAGGCCGGCGTGTTGTACCAACAGTCCAGGCTGTCCAAAACCTCTGGGAATTGCTCCCAGTTTGTTGAGTTTTATGGTATTTAATTTATGCAACACGTCCCAAAGGTATCAAGGTACACAGAACCTTTTCCCTTTGGACACACACATTTTGCATGGATGGTGTCTGTTGGTACAGAGGGGGGTTTTGCCAAACGTTTCTGCTTTTTAGGCTTGAACCAGCACATGATTTATTTTCTGCTGCAGTGAAATGCACCTTTCTTGGAAGGATCAGAATTTTTATAGTTCTTTGTACTGGTTTTTGATTTTCTGTGTGATGAAGTCAATAAATGGATTTAAAAAGACCCAAAACACTGAGTTTTCACTTCTCTCTTGGTTTTGTTTTTTTGGCGTTCTTTGCATGGTTTTCACCAACTCCCGGTACAGGTTGGTTCCTCTTTATGCAAAACCAAGGCTGTCTTTGATAAAAACACCCCTTTTTTGGAGCTGTCGGTGCTCAGGGCTCCCTGTGCAGCCGGAAGGAGCCCAGACAGGCCCAGCCCCCAGCGGATTTGAAGTTTCCAGTCTGCTTAACCGTGCCCAGTATCACCCA